AATGCTATTTTTGAGATGTGTTTCTGATATAACGCAAACATCAATGTCATTAGCATACAAATCCAATTCCAGTCCAGTAGTTGCGCGAATGTTGTTTTTAGTTTTGGTTAATCCGCATACGTTGAGAAACATAAATTTAGGAACAGGGAATAGTGTTGTGGTATTTGGAGTAGTGTTTATAGTAGTATTTGCAATAGCGCCAATGCTCACATGGTTTCTTCTTGACGATGATGTTTCCACTTGAACCAAATTATTCCAATTCACACCTTGGTTTTCGTCCTGTGCATTCGTATTTGAATGCGCGCGCGCGGATTGAAGTGCACATCTCCCGCGCGATGTGAAGTCCGCGAGCAACGATTTGTAAGCGCTTTTTCAGTGGGCGCTTATCACGAACTTTCAAGTGCGCGTGCTCGAACTGCAATCCCAACCTTCGTGTCATTTCTTCTGGGGCTCGCTCAAAAGAAATCCCTGAGTCCTTGCACATGGCATGACGGACTGGACTAATCGTTGATAGGATTTTCTCATTTTTCTATTCAGTCTTATCACACCAAAATGTTCCGTCTATCAAAGATATTTTCCCCAAGTTTGCGTGCAAATATACTTTGCGGCTATAGATCCTTTGCAGCACTTTGGAATGTAGCTCAATCCTAGCATAAAACAATAGGTTCCAATTCTCAGGAGATTGGAATTCTTTTGTTTTGTCCCACAGAACGATCGAGCTGTTTTGACGTCACAGGCAAGGGGTCTATATTATTCTGACAAAAACGCATCCCACATGGAAAAAGGTGAACATGGCCTCTTGGTCATCATCGACAAAATCGATCAGTTAGTCTGCTGGTCATAGCAAGGGGTTAATCATCTACGGTCTAGGGGCCGACTAACCTCTCCCTTAGGCTTCGGCCGAGCTTCCTGATCAGTCTGTAAATCCCGGATAGCGGTGTCGGGGTCGAAATCTCCGGCGTAGCCATAAATGCTTCGCGCTGCCATACGACGGTTCAGCAATCGATGTCTGGAAGTATGGTCCTTTTTGATCAATCAATTAAATAATATCGATAACCAGTTTTCCTTGCATTCTTGAAAAGGAATCCCAAGTACGGAAGCGCGTTTATCCTTGTTTCTGGTAACGTTATATCCACACATTACCGTCGTACGTCTTTCCATGGCATTTATAGTGGTCTTTAGATCCGACGACGAGTACGAGAGAAAGTACGAAGACGAGTTTTAAAATTGGTCCTGTGCACGTGGTTAACAATGCACCTCAATATGGAATGTCATGGCAACACCTTGATTGAAGTCCACCAAAACCTACTTCATCGCGAGGACGACTCAGCGCTTGCTTTTGAGAAGCAATTGAAAATGCTAGGGTCTTTTATGTCCCTCCCCATACTGTTAGTGATGAAGAAGCGTCGAGAGCCGTTGATTATCTCAAAGACTAAACATAACACTTCTGCATAAAACACAAGCAATACTTTATTTCTTTATTTTAATACAATTCATTTCAGTCCTAGATACACACAGTTTATAATCAATACTCCATTT